GATCCCCCCAAAACCCCAAAACCCCGTAGTATTAAAATTATATTAAAATTAAGTTATAATAAAAATAAAATGTAGCAACAAAACAATACTTAATAAACAAAACCATTAAACCAGCAAACAACTGCCACAATATCTTAGGACTAAAAGCTATCGACTTCATAGACATCAACTTAATCCAGCTAACAGATCCAAATGGGATAAAATGTTGGAAAAAGCCAGTTGAGTCAAGATTACCCATAGTTCACTGAGCAAAGCTTTACAACTCCCGCAAAAAATTAGTCTCAAAATTTATTAAACTAGAGTACAAATTCTAAGGTTCAAGATTCTGCTGTGTCGTAAGGAAGACAGAAAGAGACTGAGGAATTCAAACAGAAGTAAGTTTAATATGATGGAGATACACTCTTTATCTTAAAAAAGTATCAAATCAACACAAATGAAAGTCAAGATAAAATTTTAAAGAGTGTCTGCAGATTGACATTAATCAATAATCAACTCTTGACACAAAAGGAATAATAAAATTAGCAATTACTTAACAAAATAGATGAAAATTAGTTAATTATCTAAAAGTAGAACGATTAAATTGTCAAGCTATAGTCTCTCTAAGCAAAGGAGGAGAAACAAAAGTCTTTTAATAGCTAGCTTAAACTGACTCTAGATTAACTTAAGAATGAATTCACTGGCTTTGATAGAGAAGTCAAGCAATACTTGAAGGCTGGCCATAACAACTTGCTTAATGATTTCAACAACTTTAAGAATACACTTAAGAATCGAGAGAACTAAAAATTATCATTTAACGAGCAAGAATTCCTAAAATACAGAGAAGAATACAAGTGACTCAAGCAAAGAGAGACATTATTACTTAAAGAAATTCATGCCTACTAAATTGATTTGGAAAATATTGAACCTAATATTCAAAGATTAGAGCAAGAAAAGGAATTATTGAGACAACAGTAAATACAGTAAACCTAATTGCATCTTCATAGCTCTGTTTATAATGAGGAGATGCCTGCATTGATAGAGAGTCTTAGGATTTCTGTTCAGTAAAACCAAGAGGAAAATAGGTCATAAGCAATAAAAATGGAAACCCTTAAATTGTAATCAGAGGGGTATAGAAGCGAAATAATTAGCCTTAAAACCTAGATAAATACAATGGCATAGGAAAACTCTAATCTAAGGTTTCAAAATAATAGACAAAACTTGAGTTCTTCTAGATATCAATCCTAATAAGGATATAACTTGACTTAGGTTGTATTCCTAATAGTTATGATGCTTATCGTATTTGGAGTCGTTAAATAGGTGCAAGAAAGTCATCATCACTCTTGAATATCAGGTTTTTCTAATTAATTTTGCATTTAAAGCTTAATTTGAAGATAATAATAATATCTCTGTTGTAATAATTAAAAAAAAGATTAATGAATTATTATTAAATGTAAAAGCATAATTCATTAGGACTTTAGAGATAAGATAGTGTTAAGAAAAAGAAAGTTAACTTCAATAATCGCAGTCTCTTGTTAAACACATAGAGTTAGTTTAATTCTCAGAGTTAAGACATTTTCACAAAAAGTTTCGATATTTCTAATTTCAACAATTGATGATAAACTAATTTTGAAAGACTCAACGACTCGGTCGGCTAGTTTATCGTACTTCGATAATCAGGGCTAAGCAATGAGGAATAGTAAAAACTATTCAAAAAAATGTAGAAAAAACTAGACACATCAAGAACGTCTGTAATTAAATCCACGAACTTACGACCAAGTATAAGGGATGATCTAGTCAGTTTCAACTTGCTTCTGCCAAAGGAAAAAATTAATACAGTTTAAGAAGTTTATCAAAATAATAAAGAAATTAAGCCTGTCAATTGAGAAAATCATGATTTAAAGGTTATTTTTAGATCAATGATGGAGGATAAGCTGAAAAAACTTAATGAAGGAGTAAGAATTTAAAGAAATTAGATCAGAAATTATTTGTAACTTAGATATTAAAAGAATCAAGTAGAAAAAATAATGCAAGCTTTTAACTTTTCACTCTTAGTCAATTTAGAGGAATATTGTGCCACGATTGATAGATTTTTATCAAAGCAGTATCTTGAAAAAATGAGATTGGGATTTCAAATGTTTGACTAGAACTCTGATGGGAGAATTTGCATTAATGATACATTTGAGTCAATTAAGATACTGGGAAAGTATGACTATTTAATAAGCAACGATATCATCAAAATAAGTAAGGCAATCAATAAAAAATCTAAATATCAATAAATAATGCCTGAACAGACAAAAAGCAAGCCAAATAATTTTAATCATATTCTGCAAGAAAGATTGAAGAAGATCTAGAAAAATAAGCTGAACTTATCATAAATTGAGTAAAATTAAGTACAATCTAGGAATAGTCGTAAGACTAGAAATTTATCGACTTTCATCCCTAGCTAAAGATTAAACTCCTAGGATGATTAAAACAAAGAGAAAGAAAGCATGAATGATAGTATACTAAGTTTCAAAATTAGACTTAGTTATTTAAATCATGAGTACGATAATTCCCAAGCAAACTATCTTTAAAACCTAGGCAAATCTAATATACAAAAAATGAATCAGTTCCTTGACAATCTCCGAAAGTAAAATTTCATGAGTAGTTCCACATAAAATCACTCATTTCTCGAGTTTTGTGCTGAAAATTATGATGGTAAATATGAAGTCCCTGACAATTAATATGAATCATAAGATTTTTAGTATGGAAAATTATCGCAGAAAAGAAAAATTGCTAGCAGGAGCTTTGATATAAGGCAAGCCTTCCACTAATATTTGGAGAGCAAAAACACTGAAAAGAGTAGAGATTCAATTGATTTTATGGATTTCTGTAAGATACAATTTGATTATAGCTACCCTGAAATTCTAGTCGATATTATATATTACTTATCTAGACACCAAATTCAAAATGCAGCTAGTGATTAGCATGAAATAGGAAATACATCATATAGATCTGCTCTTGACAGTTAGGTTAATTCTAAACCTATCCAAGAAAATGATTATAAATAAAAATTTGACATTAAAAAGAGCATAAATAAATGGAGATATTCGCAAACAGCTCTTGACTAGACAATTAAATTTATAGGTACACATCCTTTTTACGATTGAATATATATATATATAATTATTTACTCATGAGGAGAGTTCATATTGTGAGATGGGGTTTTGGGGTTTTGGGGAGATCGGAAGAG